CACCTATAAATTTATGCATGGATAGTGTGGTACCTACCCGTTTGCTATTACTTTCGTTGTCCTAATTTGTCGGCAATTATTATAATATGGAGCGAACCGGTATTTTATCTGAACGAATCTGGACATGGCTCGTCTGAGAGACGTTTCTAGTCACACGTTCATAAATCTCTACGTTGACACCGACATTCTTAAAAACACACTTACACATATGCATATATGTACTAATAGGTATACATGCATACCCTTATACATATGCCCATATGTACGTATACATCCAAACATATATATCCGTACATTTCTATATACACATATGTACATATGTGTATATACACATATGCATATATATACTAATAGGTGTACATGCATAGTCTTGTACATATTCCCATATCTACATATACACCTAGACTTATAATCTTAGACGCATATATGCATGCATTTGTACATATACACCTATGCATATATACACCAATACGCACATACTCACCGACAAAATCCCTATACCTTCCATCATATCGTATACGTATTTTTTATTGTCATATCGCTATCGTATCCTATATGCATGTCCTATCCTTACACCTACCAATTGACCCCCCCCACACACACCCCCACACCTCCTCACCAGATGCTCGCCGGGCCGCAGAAGCAGCCGAAGACGAATGGAACGATCGGGTGAAGCGTATCTCCGCGTCATCGCACTGTGTGATGTTGGGTGTGGTGGGGGTGTTGCTGGTGGCTCTGTTTGTGGGCATGTACTACAGCAATGCATCTCAGACACGTGCCAGAATGCGTGTGCGAGTGGAGGCTGCCATTAAGGCCCTGCGGGAGGAGCTGCGGCACGTGACCAGCGGGTAGGTATACAGGGTGTGCATGTGTGTGTGGGTAGGTGTATAGGGTGTGCATGTGTGTGGGTGTGGGTGTACAGGGTGTGCATGTGTGTGTGTGTAGGTGTATAGGGTATGCATGTGTGTGTGTGTAGGTGTACAGGGTGTGCATGTGTGTGTGTGTGGGTGTATAGGGTGTGCATGTGTGTCTGTGTAGGTGTACGGGGTGTGCATGTGTGTGTGTGTGGGTGTATAGGGTGTGCATGTGTGTCTGTGTAAGTGTACAGGGTGTGCATGTGTGTGTGTGTAGGTGTATAGGGTGTGCATGTGTGTGTGTGTAGGTGTACAGGGTGTGCATGTGTGTGTGTGTAGGTGTATAGGGTGTACATTTGTGTGTAGATGTACGGGGTGGGCATGTGTGTGTGGGTGGGTGTATAGGGTGTGCATGTGTCTGTGTGTAGGTGTACAGGATGTGCATGTGCGTGTGGGGATGTGTGTATGAGTGTCTGTGTGTATGTACCTGTGCATGTAGGTGCGTATATGGGGTCTATTGTGTGCCAGTGGGATGTATGGTATCTCTCCCGTGGGTGATGCGTAGTTCAGCCCTGTTGTGTGGAATCGTGCCCCACTGTGTACAAGAGTATCTGACCCGCGATACGGTTCATTCGACTGGTTAACGGGATAGAACAAACGTCATTCGACTAGTTAACGGGATAGAACAAACATCATATAATGTTGGGAAGCCCAACGGTTTCCGAGAGTGTGCCTGGCGTGTATGTGTGTGCTTTGTGAGTGAATGTGTTTGCTTTGTGAGTGTATGTGTGTGCTTTGTGAGTGTATGTGTGTGCTTTGTGAGTGTATGTGTGTGCTTTTGAGTGTATGTGTGTGCTTTGTGAGTGTATGTGTGTGCTTTGTGAGTGTATGTGTGTGCTTTGTGAGTGTATATGTTGCTTGTGAGTGTATGTGTGTGCTTTGTGAGTGTATGTGTGTGCTTTGTGAGTGTATGTGTGTGCTTTGTGAGTGTATATGTTTGCTTTGTGAGTGTATGTGTGTGCTTTGTGAGTGTATGTGTGTGCTTTGTGAGTGTATGTGTGTGCTTTGTGAGTGTATGTGTGTGCTTTGTGAGTGCATGTGTGTGCTTTGTGAGT